TGTGTGTGTGTGTGTGTGTGTGTGTGTGTGTGTGTGTGTGTGTGTGTATTGCATTGCCTGATACTGTAAAAGCGATGTGCTTCTTTAAAGTCACCCCAGCACTGTATGTGCCACATCCTCACCAACAGTTGGTATTGTTAGACCAGCAAATTTCTGTGAGTCTTATGGGTATTTAGTGGCATCTCATTGTGGTTTAAATATCATTCCCCTGCTTACTAATGAGTTTGAATACCTTTACACATGTATATTGGCGACTTGAATTTTTGATGAAATATCTACTTAAATATTGTGCCCATTTTTCTGTTGAGTTGTCTTATGGGTTCATAGTAGTTCTTTATATATTACGAATGTGCATCCTTTCTCATATAAGTGTGTTCCCAGGATCTTCTCCCATTCTGGCTAGCCCTTTTAGTTTATTTAAAGTATCTTTTGATGAAAAGAAGTTCTTATTTTCATTGACTTGAACTTATTTTCCTTGCTTTTTTTTTTTTTTTTTTTTTTTTTTTAATTTTGAGAGAGAGAGAGAGAGCTCAGGGAGGAGCAGAGGGAGAGAGAGAGAGAAAGAAAGAATCCCAAGCAAGCTCCGTGCTCTAAGCTAGAAGCCCAAGGCAGGGTTCATAGTTTGTGAGCTCATGACCTGAGCCGAAATCAATAGGCAGCCATTTAACTGACTGAGCCACCCAGGTGCCCCTGTTCTTGCATTTTTTAAATAGATGATGTAGGTGGGTATCAACTCACTATGATAGTTAGATTTCATTGTAAACATTTGAAAGAGTGATGTGACAGCTTACTTTTAAATGTCAGTATTTTAAATATACTGGACATGATATCCTTTTTAACAAGTTAAACTATTTAAAAATTTAGATGTTACTCAAAATTTTGTGAAAGGGTAAATAATTTTTCAGAATTCTTCTAGAGGGTATGGGATCAAAGAAGCTTGAAGAGCACTGCTTTAGACAGTCATACTCCCTTCTCTTCCCACTCCCTACCATTCTTTCGATTCCTGCCACGTGGGACTACTTGTAATTCCCCAAACATACTATGCCATTTTTGCCGCTTCACCTGTGTACTCCGTTCTCTCTGCTTCCTCATTCCTTCAAAATTCTGGTTCTGTGTCACCTTCTTTGTTAAGATATCCATGTTCTCCATACCAGAATGTGTTGAGAGAAAGCTAGTATGTATTGAAATGCCTAAACAGGGTACAAGACCAAAGGAGCAGTTAAATTACTGCCCTTGATTTGTGTGCTACCCTTTTGTTAACACATTCTGAGTTAGACTGTGTTCAGTTTTTACAAGGTAAATCGCGTGGTTGGTCCACCTGCGAGTATGGTGGACAAGGGCCCCCAAGTCATTTTCCCAGGAACTGCTCTCAAGCAAGGTTCATCCTTCATTTAATGTATTTATCCCAAATTCTGTCTTAATTAATTTTGATCCATTTTACCAAGATCGCTTTCAGTGCAGATAGTCTTTGGACTTTGCTTTTATGCAGATGTGACAAACATGCTTTATGCAGCTTCAGGACCTTCATAAAAATTGGGGAAAATAGTCAATTAGGGAGCCAGGAAAAGACTTTCATCAGGAGAATGGCAGTCAACTAATTTGGGGATAGTTTCTAGTCAACTTGGGATTTACCTAACTGTACTGTTATCCTGTCCACATTTATCTCTTTAGAATATAAAGAAATCTTTTCACATGCCTTTCTAAAATCAGGATATGCTGTGTCTAGACATTTCCATGATTTCCCAGGCTAGGACTGCAATAAAAAATGAAATGAGGTACTTTTTAAGGAACAATTCACTCCCAATTGACAATGTAGATTTTTCTCCTGTGGTGAATTCTCTGTATCCATTCTAACATTTTGTTTTGTTTTGTTTTGTTTTGTTTTGTTTTGTTTTGTTTTGTT